GGAAGGAAGGAAGGAAGGAAGGAAGGAAGGAAGGAAGGAAGGAAGGAAGGAAGGAAGGAAAAAGGGAGAGCAGGAGATATGGATTCTGGAGCTATTCCAAGAAAGCTTAATTCAGCTCAAGGGACTTTGGGTGAGGGATCTATGCAATAGCATCACAAAACTTAAGATATAGGTTCTCCTGCTTGAGCAGGGGGCTGGACTAGAAGACCTCCAAGGTCCCTTCTATTCTATTCTATTCTATTCTATTAATTGGCCGCCATAAGATATTCCCTCTCCATTGCTGCCTCCTCCCATATCAACTGGGTTCATGGGAGGACTAGTCAAAAGAGTCAAAATGGCAGCCGCAACCACATGGTCAAAGCCCCCCCCCCTTTTTTTTCTTTCCATGTAGATGGCCCTCCCCTTTTCCTAGGGCAGAGGTCCCCAAACTTGGCAACTTTAAGACTTGTGGACTTCAACTCCCAGAATAATTCCTCAGCCACCTGGCTGAGGAATTCTGGGAGGTGAAGTCCACAAGTTTTAAAGTTGCCAAGTTTGAGGACCCCTGGCCTAGGGCGATTCCTTCTACCCCTTCTCTTCCTCTCTCCCCTTGACACTTTCTCCCACGTTGCCAAGTTTTGTTTTGTTTTTGCTCTTCTTCTCCAAGCAGCCTTCTGTGCCGTCGCTTGCTTCCTCCCACCACGGATTGTGGGAAAGCCTTCAAAAGCACCCTAAAGTCTTGCCTGACTTCCCTGCAGTTTCTCCAGACATATATTGAAAAAAAAAAGAGGAGGAAGGAATAAAAATAGCCCATGTTGAACTGTAGGGCACAGTCAAACATCAGCTCAGGAAATGTTTCATGACAATTTGTATCAGGTCATAGTTTTATGATCCTACACAATACAGAATAACAGAGTTGGAAGGGAACTTGTAGGTCATCTAGTCCAACCCGCCACCCAAGCAGACCCTACACCATTTCTGATAGATGGCAGTCCAGTCTCTTCTTGAAAGTCTCAAGTGATGAAGCTCCCACAACTTCTGAAGGCAACTTCTGTTCCATGGGTTGACTGTTCTCACTGTCGGAAAGTTTCTCCTTATTTCCAGGTTGAATCTCTCCTTGATCAGTTTCCATCCATTATTCCTTGTCTGGCCTTCAGGTGCTTTGGAAAATAGCTTGACCCCTTCCTCCTCTCTGTGGCAGCACCTCAAATATTGGAAGACTGCTCTCCTGTCTCCCCTGGTCCTTCTCTTCACTAGACTAGCCAAGCCCGGTTCCTGTAATCGTTCTTCATATGTTTTAGTCTCCAGTCCCCTAATCATCCTGGTTGCTCTTCTCTGCACTCTTTCTAGAGGCTCAGTACAGTGGTGGGATTCAAAAATTTTTTACTACAGGTTCTGTGGCTTTGTGGAAATGGCGGAGGACAGATACTGTAAAATCTCCAGTCAGAGGTGGTATTTGCCAGTTCTCGGAACTACTCAAAATTTCCGCTACCGGTTTTCCAGAACTGGTCAGAACCTGCTGAATACCACCTCTGTCTCAACACCATTTTGATAGTGTGGTGACCAAAACGGGATGCAGTATTTTAGGTGTGGTCTTACTAAGGCTTTATAGAGTGGTATTAATACCTCATTTGATCTTGACTCAATCCCTCAGTTAACGCAATTTAGGATTGCATTTGCTTTTTTAGTTGCTGCCGCATACTGCTGACTCATTATTTAATACCATGTTTATGTCATAAACTGTTTTATAACATTTGCCAAATTTCAATTCCATGTGAGTTGTGAATTGAAATTTTGGATGCATTCTGTAAGTTAGGCCACTTTGAGTTATCTCAGTTCAAAAATGTGGACTTTATAATGCACCTTTTCGCCTGGTTAAAGGTTTCAAGAACAAGAGTTTTAGTAGTATATATATTTTTATGATGTCATTAACATCCATTTTAAATGATAACTCACCCTGGAATGAAATTCACAGCACAGAATAAAAACGTCTGCAAAGAAAGATGAGTCAATTAAAAAAGTAAGGGAAGTCCTGTAGTCTATATTTATGAAAAGAGTACAGCAAAATCACAGCCCAGAACTGGAAATATTTGTATAGATGAGCATTTCTCAACCTTGGGAACTTTAAGATGTTTGGACTTCAACTCCCAGAATTCCCCAGCCAGCATAGCCTAGGTGGTGAGGGAATTCTGGGAGTTGAAGTCCACACAGCTTAAATTTGCTAAGGTTGAAAAAAATACTGCCATAGAGGTTATAATTATTCTCAAGCAGGAATTAACTATGATGTCTTTGGAATCTACTTCTTAGCTTTGTCATCTTAGCTTGCAGCAGAAAAAAAGGAAGAAAAAGATGAAGATATATCTTTTTTTTCTCATTGCAGGATTTCAGAAAAGTAAAAGGAGTCTTTTGTATGCCAGTTGTTGGGCAATGGTGGCAGGAAGATGTTGGCCAGGAAAAGCATTATCCCAGAAGAATATGTTCTTGCCCGCATTGCGGCTGAGAATTTGGGCAAGCCACGCATTCGAGACTGCCAACGCAAAGCCCGCTTCATCGCCAAAAATGGGGCTTGCAACCTAGCCCACAAGAACATCCGTGAGCAGGGACGTTTCCTGCAAGACATCTTCACCACCTTGGTAGACCTGAAATGGCGCCACACTCTGGTGATCTTCACCATGTCCTTTCTCTGCAGCTGGTTGTTCTTCGCCATGATGTGGTGGCTGGTGGCTTTCTCCCATGGAGACATGGACAAGCCTTGCAGCACTGAAGACCTCAGCAAATGGAAACCGTGCATCACCTGCGTCAGGTAAGGGGACACGCCTTGACAAGGAGACGCTGGAGGCCATGACTGCAGGCTGTCAACTCTGAAGTGAACCTGGCTGAAGCCATCTTGGGCTACCTCGTGGTTGCCATGAAACCCTGAGAGGGGGAAGGGAGGGAGAAAGTAGATAGACTGGCTAATAGTCAAAGCAAAAAGTTTTCTTGTGGGAACCAAGGTCATCTCAACAGGTGTCAGTTTAAAGGAGAGGAGTGACCAAGCAGCCTGCCACCTACTTTCATTGGATAATGTGACCAGTGACACCTGGGAGGGGGAGAAATTTGCTGTTTTAATTAGGGGAAAACAATGGGAATTTTTAGAGTTGGTTTTCACCGATATGATGTATCCAACAAACATGTTCTTTGAGGAATCTACCTGTCTGGGAGTTCTGCTTTTGGTGGATGCATTACTCAGAACACTGACACAGACATGCGAACAAATCCAGAACTTCATAAATACAGATAGTCCTCGACGTAAGACCACAATTGAGGCCAACATTTCTCTTCCTAAGCAAGGGAGGTTCCTAAGTGAACTTCTGCCCCATTTTATGACTTTTCTTTCCACAGCTGTTAAGTGAATCACTGCAGATGTTAAGTTTGGAACACGGTTGTTAAGAGAATCTGGCTTCCCTGTTGACTTCGCTCGTCAGAAGTTTGCAAAAGGGGATCACACGATCCTGGGACATTGCAACTGTCGAAAATATGAATCAGTTGCCAAGGATCCAAACTTTGATCATGTGACCCTGAGGAGGCTCCATTGGTCGTAAGCGTGAAAAACAGTCATAAGTCACTGTTTTTCAGTGCTGTTGTAACTTCAACTAATGGTTGGAGGTTGAGGACTACCTATATACTAGTTTATTCACATAAAATGTTAAGGTCATGACCCATAAATTACTAGCCTAATCTTGGCTTGATCTGATGTGTTGTGTGAACCCATGTATACAATGCAGAATCAGAGTTTTCAGTTGATTTGGCCAACCTTATTGTCAGCTTTGGAAGCCATATTGAGATCAGATGCTCCCACGCTGCCACGTCTGAGTCTGGGAAAGTGGAATATATTGGAGTATATCTAGTTAGACATAATAACATTCTTTTCCTGATTCAAAATCAGGTTGTGTTGCACCATAACTGAGAGGAAGTCTTACCTGGGGATGGATGGTGATTGGGCCATGTGATGGATGATGGGTGCAGGGGATGGATTTTGTAGTTTTTACTTACTGTAAGGAAGCCTGGAACTTTCAGATTTGGGATTCCACAGTTGAGCCAGTTACTATCCAAATAAAAGGAGCTATTGAGAAATGTCTGTCTCGGAGTTATAGGGTGGAATGGAGGTTTCCTGGAACGCTGACACTTATATGCATGCTTTCACAATGGAAAATAACTGATTTATTTCTGTATTTTATGACCGTATTCCACTTTTTTCTGCCTTTCTGTCAGGTCCTTCATCTCTGCTTTCCTCTTCTCCATTGAGGTCCAGGTGACCATTGGTTTTGGTGGAAGGATGATGACCGAGGAATGTCCCATAGCCATCAGTGTTTTGATCCTCCAAAACATTGTGGGCTTGATCATCAACGCGGTCATGTTGGGTTGCATCTTTATGAAAACCGCCCAGGCCCACCGGAGAGCAGAAACTTTGATCTTTAGCCGGAATGCAGTCATCACTGTCCGTAATGGCCACCTGTGTTTCATGTTCCGCGTAGGGGACCTGAGGAAAAGCATGATCATTAGCGCCTCGGTACGAATCCAGGTTGTCAGGAAGACCACCACTCCAGAAGGAGAAGTCATCCCAATCCACCAACTCGACATTCCGGTAGACAATCCTCTTGAAAACAACAACATTTTCCTGGTGGCTCCGTTGATCATTTGCCACGTCATTGATAAGCGGAGCCCACTTTATGACATCTCCGCCAACGACCTGGCCAACCAAGACCTAGAAATCATTGTCATACTTGAAGGTGTCGTAGAAACCACTGGAATCACCACCCAAGCCAGAACATCCTACATATCAGAAGAGATCCTCTGGGGCCATCGCTTTGTGCCCATCGTCACGGAAGAAGAAGGGACTTATGCTGTCGACTACTCCAAATTTGGCAACACCAGCAAAGTTGCAGCACCCCGTTGCAGTGCCAAGGAGCTGGATGAGAAGCCTTCCATTCTCATCCAGACCCTCCAGAAAAGTGAGCTGTCCCACCAGAACTCCTTGAGGAAGCGTAACTCCATGCGAAGGAATAACTCCATGCGGAGGAATAATTCCATCAGGAGGAATAACTCTTCCTTCATTGTGCCTAAAGTCCAGTTCATCACGCCTGAAGGCAACCAGAACACCATGGAAACATGACAGAGCCAAGCAGTCATGTGCAGAGTGTCAAGGCTCTGACAATACACCCCCATTGGAATCATAAGTCTCTAGCTGCATGTCCCAGAGTAAAAAAAAAAAAAAGATTTATTAGGAGTGACCACATCGGCGTTACCTGGTTGCAGCCGACTGTAAGACACATCATTCATTTCACTCTTGACCCTGGTCTTGCCCCCACCCCCTGGATGTATATTCTCCAATGGGACACATCCATAGCCAAGAGCCATCGATGATGCTCTCCAGTAATAATCTTGCGTGCCAACAGCTTCGGCTGCCTAGCAATTACCTGAAGCATTTCAGGAATGCACTACTTTCCCCCACTCCCTTTCTGTTGGCAACTAAAAAAGCCAAAGAAGTATGTTTGTTTTTTAGTTGACCCAGAGGTCCTGCAAAAACAGGGCTTTGCCTTTGTTATAATATTAGTATTAATTTGATATCAACATTTAATAGATATTAAGGGTTATTTATTGTATGCAGACATCAGATCAAACCAGAGATAGGTTGTAGTTGAGTCCATTATCAGTATGTGTGCCAACGTTTGCATGATTTGAGGTTGAGATGCTACAGCTACTCCTCAACTTACAACCACAACTGAGGCCAAACTTTCTATTTTTAAGCAAGACCGTTATTAAATATTGCCCCATTTTATGAACTTTCTTGCCACAGTTGGTAAGTGAGTCACGGTAGTTGCTAAGTGAATGATACTTTCATTAAGTGAATCTGGCTTTCCCCACCGATTTTGCTTGTCGAAAGCCAACTAGGAAGGTTAGAGGTAGTGATCCCATGACCCCAGGACAGTGCAACCATCATTAATATATGTCAGTTGCCTAAGCATCTGAATTTTGATCATGTGACTGTGGGGATGCTGTGATGGTCGTAAGTGTAAAAAACGATCTTAAGTCACATTTTTTTCAGTGCCATTGTAACTTTGGTCACTGAACAAATGTGTCAAGCTCAAAGCGTGCTTATTCTGTTACAACCATTATCGCTTCTCAACTTGCCAAAGGATTAGGGGGAGGGGAAGGGGGAGATCAGTGGTGGGATTCAAATATTTTTACCACCGGTTCGGTGGGTGTGGCTTGGTAGGCGCACTTTGTATGCGTGCAAACACTTTGCGTGCGCACGCGCACCAATCATGCACTTTGTGCAGGCGCAGAGGCGTTCTAACTCGCCTCCTGCAAGCCTGCACAATCCCGGTCGCTTCAGCAGCTGTTGCACGACACTCATCTGTGCCGCGCAAAGCAGGTGCGCTTCAAATTTAGAAGATAATGGTGGTTATGGGAGGCCGGGCGGGGGGGTGGGCCCAACAGCAGAGTGGCGGAGAGAACCGGTTTGGTCTCTGCTGCTGATCGCTGCTACCGGCTTGGCAGAACTGGGCTGAACCGGTAGAATAACACCACTGGGTGAGATGGAACACAGGCTCTAGACTTCAAGAAAGAGAGCCATGAGAACCAAGGACACATCTGCAGGTGTTAGCCAAGACCAGATACTTTTTCTCATAACAATACAATGACATTCACTTGGATAATGTAACTTACACTAATAGGGGGGCAGGGAGAATTCTATATTGTACCTATGTGGGTTTGCGTGGGAATTAGGGGTAGAGCTGGTTTTGCCTTCAATAGTACCAAAATGATGCACTCAATAAAGTTTTGTGTTAAGACATTGGCAGGTCTCGAGTCTGCTTGCGTTACTTGGGTTTGTCAGTTGGGACATTGACAGAATGCCTGAAAGTTGAGGACTCTCTGTAATTTGTTGGCTACACATACTTTTGGAAAAAGTATAGACATCAAATGACCTCTTTTGTTTACATCAGGGGTGTCAAACTCTAGGCCCGGGGGGCCGGATCCAGCCTGGGGGAATTCTTAGATCTGGCCCGCGGGGCTGCCCTGGAAACAGTGAAGGGCTGGCCCAGGGTGCTTCTGCCCCAAAAAACAGAGCTCGCGAGGCTGCACACAGCCTCTCGCACTCCGTTTTTGCTGGCAGAGGGTTGTAGGAGGTCATCGAGGCCAAAAATGGAACTCAGGAGCCCGTTTTAACTGGTAGAGTGCTCAGGCCATCAGAGGCACCCCCTGACATAAGTGATGTCATACTGGCCATGCCCCACTGCCCTGTCCCCACCAAGGTCAAACACAATCCTGATGCGGCCCTCAATGAAATCAAGTTTGACACTCTTGGTTTACATGAAGGTTGGTCCAATTGTCATTTGAATCTATTTTTCATGCTCTCTTTATCTACTATTTAACTTCTCTCCCTCCCTCCTTCCCTCTCTCTCTCTCTTTCTCTCTCTCTCTCCATCTCTTTCTTTCTCTCTCCCTCTCTCCCTCTCTCTCTCTCTCTCTCCACCTCTCTCTCTCTCTCTCTCTCTATCTCTTTCTTTCTCTCTCCACCTCTCTCTTTCTCTCTCTCCATCTCTCTCTCTCTACCTCTCTCTTTCTCTCTCTCCATCTCTCTCTCTCTCTCTCCACCTCTCTCTCTCTCCACCTCTCTCTCTCTCCCTCTCTCTCTCCCTCCCTCCCTCTATATCAAAGTCTCTATCTCGGGGGTGTCAAACTGAATTTCTTTGAGGGCCAGATCAGCATTGTAGTTCTCTTCCGCAGGGCAGCTGGGAGTGGGGGGGGGGAGATGAGACAGATGCCTCCTGCAGCACCCTGCCAGCCAAAACGAGGCATGGGGCGAGGCACAACCCGTTTGGCTGCCAGAGGCACTGTGAGCCGGTCCTTTGCTATTTCCAAGCCAGCCCCGTGGGCCAGATTTAAGCACCCTGCAGGCTGCATCCAGCCCACAGGCCTTGATAAATGTTTGAACTGTCTTTCTAAAACAAGGCTCTTCAAACTTGGCAAGTTTAAGACTTGTGGACTTCAACTCAAAGCTGGCTGAGGAATTCTGGGAGTTGAAGTCCACAAGTCTTAAAGTTGCCAAGATTGGAGACCCCTGGCTTAAAATTTTCTGAAGTTGAGAAACCCTGTTATAGGCAATTGAAGAGATGGCTGTGCGACACCAGACTTTTTGAATCAAAATAAGTTGTAGAATCCCTTCGCTTTGCCGGCCAGAATCTCCTCTTTTTTTCTCTGACAGAAGAAATCCCCTTGCCTTAAATTGAGTGAGAACTAGAAGTTAAAAACAGGACATTTTCTCTGAATGTGCTAGATTTGCTCTCATGACCATAATAAAAATGCAGCAACAGAAGAAAGGACCTGAAAGCAAAAACTTCCCATTGCAGAGATGCCCAGCTTACAGTGGCGGAATTCAATTTTTTTTTTACCACCGGGTCTGTGGGTGTGGCTTAGTGGGTGTGGCTTGGTGGGCATGGCAGGGGAAGGTTACTGCAAAATCCCCATTCCCTCCCTACCCCACTAACCTGCTTTCCAGCTCCATTCTCCTGTTCAGAGCAACAAAAGAAGACCCAGCCAATCAGCTGGGACTCGGGAGGCAGAGAATAGATGGGGGCGGGGCCAGTCAGAGGTGGGATTTGCCGGTTCTCCAAACTACTCAAAATTTCTGCTACCGGTTCTCCAGAATTGGTCAGAACCTGCTGAATACCCACCTCTGCCGCCTTCCCAACAGTCTCTTAGTTTCAAGGTCAGGACGCAAAGAACGTGTTGAAATATGGGGAATAAAAGCAGCGAGTTTAAACTGGGTGTAAAAGAGAAGCTACACCACCATGTCGACCAAGGGAAAAATCAGGCGTTCAATGAGGATTCTTTCTAGCCTGCAGTAACAACAGATACCTAGCCATGTCATGCCATGTCACACAACAGACCTGCGCCAAACCCTGGTTTAGCAGCCAAATTAAGCTATGTGAAATCGAGGGAGTAAGTTTTACTCCAGGAAATGTAATAATCCTACTTCACCCCCATGTAAGGTTATTTCAATAAGTATAGATAGTCCTCAACCTATGACCAAATTGGAACCAGAATTTCTGCCGCTAAGCAAGGTGTGTCAGGGTTCCAACGGATGTTCTGAATTAATTCATGGGCCTCGAGCCAAGTTTCAAAAGAAATCCAACTATTTATTAGGAGATAGAAAAATATAAGAGTGTGTCGGCACTTTTTCCAAGTGCAGTTGGCTCTGCCCTAGGTAATTTACTGTTCACCTATGACCCTATTTCCCCCCCCCTCCTCCCAGGGTGTGTCATAAATCACATTCTCCAACAAAGTACTCCAACAAAGTACTTTCCCTGGCTGTGGAAGACCCTCCTCTCCAGTTGGGTTTGGTAACTTGAGACACAATCTGGAGAAAGATATGCATGGAATCAGTGGCATTCAGCAGGTTCTGACCAGTTCTGGAGAACCGGTAGCGGAAATTTTGAGTAGTTCAAAGAACCAGCAAATACCACCTCTGACTGGAGATTTTACAGTATCTTTCCCCTCCCAAGCCCACCAAGCTATGCCCACAGAACCGGTAGTAAAAAAAATTGAATCCCACCACTGGGATGGAATGGAATGATCAGTAATGCTTTACGAGTTGACAAGGTGATTGTTAAGAGAGTCACAGCTAATTTTAGGACCCTTTTGCCATGGTTGTTAAGCGAATCGCTGCAGTTGTTCAGTGAATCATGTGGTCGTTAAACGAACCCAGCTTCCCCCGTTATCTTTGTTGGAAGCTTGCTGAAAAGATCACAAATAGTGATCACATGACCCCAGGATGCGAAACGTAAATACATGCCAGGTACCAAGCACTCAAATTTCGATCACGTGATCATGGGGGGGTGCTGTGACCGTCATAAGTGTGAGGACTAGCTAGAAATCACTTTTTCAAATGGTCACTAAATGAATGGTTGTAAGTCAAGTATTACTTGTATGTGCACAGAATTGTTTCCTCTCAGACATAGAACAGTGATGCTATTCAGCAGGTTGGTAGCAAGAATTTGGCGTGATCGCTGAACCGGTAGTAACTTCTGGCTGGCCACGCTCGCTCGCTTGCCCCACCTGCCCAATACATCCACCCAATGCTTGCCCCACCCAGCCACTCCTTAAGGTATTTCTTCTTCTTTTTTTAACCTCCCGACAAAAAAAAAAATTGAATCCCACCGCTGACATAGACAATGTGTCACTTATCGATGATAGCTCTACTTTTTGCCCCTGCCTTCCATCAATTTATTAACAAACACTTGGATACAATTCTAGTCATTTCAGAATAATTTTATTAAATACCAATAGTGTTCAGAAGCTAAATGGAAGAGATAATATTTGCTTC